GGAGGTCCCATGGACGTGTCAGAACCGGGAGTAGCGGCACCGCTGTCTCCAGGAGTACTGGCCTCGGTGGCGGGGAAACCACCCTTCTTGAGAGAAGCAAAGAGATCCTTGTCCTTGGACTCCTCTTCACGCTTCTTAGCACGAGCCTCTTCAATGGCCTCGGCTTCACGCTCAGCGTTCTTCATGTTGGCCTCGTAAGCCTCGAGCTCCTCCTTCTCCTTGCGCTCCTTCTCTTCCTTCTCAGCCTTCTTCTTGGCGTAGTAGGCCTCTTCAGCAGCACGCTCCTTGGCCTCAATCTCGGCCATCTCGCGTTCGATGGCATCGTAGTCGGTATCGTCATCGTCAGCAGGGGCAGGGGCAGGGGCGGGCTTGGAAGGCTCCTCGGCCTTGGTCTCGGCGGGCTTGTCCTTCAAGCTCAGGTCCTCAAGACTCTTGCGAGCCGCTTCTTCATCCGCAGCCTTCTTCTGCGCAGCCTCCTCCTCTTCCTTCTTCTTTTGAGCGGCATCCTCTTCGGCCTTCTTGCGCGCAGCCTCTTCCTCTTCCTCCTTCTTCTTCTGGGCCGCTTCTTCTTCCGCCTTGCGACGCTCAGCCTCCTCCTTCTCGATCCTATCCTGCTCAATCTTCTGGTGCACCGCGTCTCTCAGCTCCTTCTTCTTTTCCTCGTCCGTCTTGGTGGACTTGGAATCGGTGCGAGTGTGGTCGGCACTGCTGCCGGTACGCGGGGGAGGAGTCGAGGTCGGGGTGGCAATCTTGACAGGCGAAGGAGTGACACGGGCAGGAGAAGCCGGGGCCTTCTCGAAGGTCTTCACGGCACCACTGCCGGGATCCTTGATGACAACGGCATTCTTCTTGGCCGTGGGGATGACGAAAGAGGACTTTTGAGGGGCGGGGCTGTTGGAGGAACGGCTGGCATTGTGGGCATGAGCGGGGCCAGGAGCGCCAGCCGGGGGCTGACCTTGACCCAAGCTCGACCCGGGCCGATCGTTCGAATGAGACGGGCTACGAGACAGAGCCGTGGCCTGTGCGGCGGGCTGCACCGGGTACTGGTTCTGCATGTACGGAGCCTGAGGGTTGTAAGGGATGCCCGGGCGAGGCTGCGGCGACGGGGGCATGTACGGCACACCGCTCATGTTGTAACCAGGGTAGAAGCCGTAGTTCGGGTCGAAGGTGGGATATCCCTGCTTTGATTTCATCATGGTTAGATAGCGTTCAAAATGGCCACTTTCTGGCGCCAGATTCGGAGGCAGAGTTATGTGGGGGTTATGGGGAGCAGAAGAACGTGGGGGGACCGGGGCACGGGATGTTCCTCTCTTGCGATTCAGGGCGCCACCGCGGCGTGCAGGCTTTTGCAAGGGATGGGGTCTCACAGGTTGAGGGGGCATGGGTTGGCCATAGTAGGGCTGAGGCGCCATCTGGGGATGGGCCATCGGGACCTGGTTCATCTGAGGAGTGGCCGGGTGCGCATTGGCCAGCGCGGGACTGCGACTCGCCTGGTGAGGAGAGTTGGGGAAGGGCATCGGGCGCGGCTGGTTGGGGAACTGAGGAGCCATGTTGGGACCACCACGGGGTTGATTGGGGGTCGAACGGAAGCTGGCGTTAGGCGAGTAGGGGATCTGTCCCTGGTAGCTCGACTGCGAGAATCCACGACCACGACCGCCCTGGTGGTGGTAGCCGCCGCGACCGCCGCGACCGCCGCCCATGTGGTTGCTCATGTCGCTGTGGGTCGACTGGGAGGATTCGCGACGCAGATGGGTCGACTGAGCGCCAGGACCAAGGGGTGCCTGAGGAGCCGGGCGCATCTGTTGCTAGCGCATAATTGTTAGTCACAGCATTTCACAGGGTAGGTATGCAGTCGGAATGCCAAGCAAAAGAGATGTGATCCGCAAGATTTGCCCCATTCCTAGCTAGGGAATTCCACCCGGTCTGATCTTCTTTTTTCTATCACCCGACGAAAATTTTTCTTCAATGTGGAAAGATGGTCATGAAACCAAAAGGGAGATAAATTGGGCTTGTAGAAAGGATAGACAAGGGAATCGCCACTTACGTTGTCACCAGAGTCACCGAAGCTGCCAAAGTTCGGGACGTTGCCCTGGGACTGATACGACGACGGCGGTGGCCGGCCACCGCTCGAGGCGGGCTGCGGGATGGGAGAAGGCGAAGTCTGGGGGGAAGTCACACGAGGGTTCATGGGCGGAGTAACACCGAGACCGGACTGAGGCTGGTTAGCCAGGACAGCGGGATTGCCCATGTTGGGAGAAGACTGCTGGTTGGCAGCGAAGCCAAACTGCAGACTGTTCGGACGACCGGTTTGGCCACCGTTGGGGATGTATCCCGAGGTGCCAGCGGAAGTGATAGTCACGGAAGGCTTTCTAGTGTGGTCGCCCTGGGAGGCCGGGGCCGGGGCGCCATTGACGATGGTGACGCCGGGGGTTTGGGATTGCTGCATGGGTTTGCCGCTCACAGGAGATGCTGTAGTCGACTTCCCATGTTGCGACTGGCCGCCCACGGTGACGGGAGCGGCGGTCGAGTCCGTCGCGGACTTCTTGGTGGCGTTGGCGTAGGAACGAGGAGCCGTCGTCGAGGTAGACGAGGGCGTAGGAACCGGCGCCTGAGGCGAAGATTTCCCACCCACTGAAGGAGAGGAAGTGTGTGCGGAGGAGGCGGCCTGAGTCGAGGTGCTCTGTCCTTGAGGTTGAAGGCCTGACTTGGGAGGGATCGAGCTCATTAGACAGGTGATACGCGAAGAAGGTTCAAGCGCTGATAGTTGATTTTAAGATGGGAGGAGAGGATGTAAGAGAGGACGGAAAGGCTGTTTTTGACAAGAAGACGATTGCGTTAGAAAGGCGTGAGGCTTTTCGGAGGGGGGGGGAGCAAGGGTGATGTCAAAGGGTGTGTGTTACCGCAGTCAAGAGGAACACGCTCTAGAATCGCACATCCAAAGATTCCCACACGAAACGGGAAAGGAATCGAAGAGGGGGGAGATTGGGTCGTCTGCGGAAAGACGAGCAAGATGGGGAGGGGAGGGGGGAAGGAAGAAGTGAAGACCACAGAACAAGAAAGATATCACGTCGTGGTCAACGACGATGGGTCTGGGGAAAGAAAAAGAGGAAAAAGGGAGAAGAGGGAAAAAAAGAGGGGGGAGGAAAAAAGGCGAGAAGTTTGGAGGGAAAAGATTTCGGTTCCCTATTTTTTCCTTTTGGTGTTTGGCCGGTAAAAGTTGGTGGTGGTGGTGGTGGTTTTTTTCTTTTTTATTTTTTTTTCTTCTCTGGTGGTGCTTTTCTTTCCCTTCTCACTTTTTTTTTTTAATTACCGTTCGGGTTTAGGCGTAAGGACATCCGCCAGAACCACACCAAACGGGTTGTAAGTGACTACTCGGAACAACCCACACAACAACACACAAGCAACAAAAAGAGTAGGTGTGGGCTAGAACCACGTCAATAATTTCCCAGCGTTTTTAGACCCTAGTCAGAATGAAAGGAATGTGCGTCTAACAGAAAAGATGAATCACCCCATTGTGATTTGAGTCAGACTTGGACTTAGTGACTGCGCCATCTGATTGTCATTTTTGGCCTACACAATACACCAGAGGTACATCTTGACGCGGAATCTCCGCTCCATCGGGTCAAGGCGGCGACGGCCACCGGAGCCAAGGATGTCACTAGGCCAAGAGTGGTATCATTGGGGGTAAATAACCAACCCTCTTTCATTGAACATTACTGACTAACGGACTAGTAAGTAAGTAAGTGACCAGATCTTGTCGCTCAGGCTCACACTGGCGCTTCCTGGTTCTACCTTGGGACTGGCACCCACAGAGTAAGTAACATTGTCCGTGGCGAGTCGCTATCCTAAGCGCTTATATCACCCAGTAAAATCATATCTTGAATGAGACATGATGTGTTAGCTCGAGATATGTATCACAAATTCTTTCTCTTCTTCTGCCTACTATCTATCTTCGATGCTCATCATCATAGTACTTAGCAGTAGTAGTGAATGGTTTAGCCAAAGCAATGACGATGGATGCTATCATTTTGACACCTCAGGCATCTACTAGGTTTTGGCGTTTGCCACACAAAGCAAGCAGCTTACTTTCCAATACCGTATGATACGGTCATGGGAATCGTTCGGCAGCACCACACCTTAACTTACTGCTTTGCTGCTTGATTGCTTGTGTTACTTGCACAACTCTTCAGCTGATGGGCGGGAGTTGCAACAGATTATCCCATCTTACAATTATCTAACAGAATATGGCTTAGACAAGATTTCCTTACCAAAGATCAAGCATAAAAGGGAAGAAACATGAACTGAAGAAATGAATAATAAAAATAGAGACGGAAGGGTATATATCACAAAACCGATCTTCCCCCTTCACAACGCCCGAGCACCCAACCATGCACCCCCGATCGCCCGGTCAACAAACCAAAACCACGTTAAGCCCGATTTCCCAGCATTCCCAAGCAGATACCGACATGCATCCAGCCTACCACACACCGGCGAAAACCCATCCATCCATCCCTATCGATAACTACGACTAAGCAAGAACAGACACAGGCCAGATAGACACCGCAGGTTTATTAATAGAAAATAATATTATTTTCTTTTTTTTTTTTCTCTCTCTCTTCAATACTTCGTTGGGGATTTGTGCGATCTCGCCTCATCCCGGCTATGCAGAAGAGTAAGGCCAGTGTTATGTTTTTTTTTTTTTTTTTTTTTTACCTTGCCAATTCCTCACATGCCTGGCTGACTGATATCGGCCAGCCGGCCGACAATACTAGTACTAGTCAAATAGTAGTCTAGTAGTAATCCACTACCTATTCCATCTTTCCTGCCTTGATTGGGCCGACGCTATTGACTGCCAGCATGTACTTAAACGAAGAGTAACTAGACAAGACGAACTGCCTTGGTTATGGATAGATACCGGTGAATGAAATATCCAGCCTCTCTTTAGAGAATTATTCCCATTCTTCTGCCCATTTCCTCCCAGATCCATATTCACCGTGATTTCATTCTCCCTTTCCTTCTTTTCCCTCTTGTTGTTCACCTTTCCCATTATTGAACCCCTCTTTCCACACCATATACCCCCCAGCTGACACTATCACCCCCCGGACAGTGTTCAACACCGGAGCCGCCGCATATCCATTCATCGCCGCGCTTTGCAACCACGGCCGGACACCTCGTGCGACAGGATTTCCCAGGTAGGATTGGCTCCATGCTGCCAACGACCCTATAAGCAATGTATCAAGTGATCGGGGTCAGTAAAGTGGGTTAAGGTAAGTAGTAGTAACTCCGCACACAGAGAATCAAGTAGAGTAACCATCCACAAACACCCAACATGAGTACAACCACCCAAGCAATGAATAGTAAGTGGTAAAGCAGCAAACATAATAGCAATATCACCCCCGGAGTTGCTATAATGTAATCAGTTGCATTGTAGACATACCTGCCCATGGCCCCAACCGACCATATCCCACTAGGTTAAGCAACCCTCCCGGGTAGAAAAGACCCACGATGCTAAAGATTGTCTGGTAGGGATGTTTCACAACATAGGCTTTCGTCGCATTCCCCGCTCGGGCGATTTGCGGCTTCGCAGCATCCACGTAGGGACCGGTCCGGTTGGCGAGTTGAGTCAGATTCACCTTCAGATTCAAGTTCGTCAAATTCAGACTCGATGTATCGGGGACGAGATGTCCTGCTACTTGTTGGAGACGTTGGATGGCCGTCTGCGTTTGGTTGAATACAGACCCCAGCCCCATGAAGTTGCCTGTCATTGCTGCGGAGGTGAGCGCTAAGAGATGGACGAGGGTGAATAGGAAGGTGGTAAGTCGCATGTTTGATGGTGACGGCGCTGCATTTAACGGTGGTGGTGCTTGCGGGGCTCGTTGGTTATTTTCCTGAGCCTTGAGGGAGGGGTAGATAAGAGTGTTATTAGTAGCCAGCTGGGACGCAAGGCTGTCGGTATCTACGTGGTGGTGTTGGTTCGGTTGGGCTTTTCTGTACAGTGACAAGGGGCTCGTGCAGAGAGGCTGCGGCAAGGCGCATTTACTTCGCATACGTCGCTGCCACTCACGTATTGCTGCTACTTCTCTGTTTCAGCTGGATTGCGGCTGCATTCGTTTGACAAGACATCCTGCCCTATCATTCTTGCTTTTCATTGAGAAGGAGTGTTAGTCTCATGCAAGAGAACTGACTGCTTGGTCTAGATATTCAATGAGCCCGACTTCTCGCACCCTCGTTTCCATGGTCTACACCCGAGGATCCAGCTTGCTCCCCACCTCCAAACCAACCAGAGGCCCAGGTGCCGCTGCTTGTGCGGCCATGCGCATCGGACGAGCGTTCCTGGGTATCCTCATGCTCCACATGAGTAAAAGAGTTCTCGCTGCGGTTCTTTCGCAGCGGTGCACCACCGTACGCCAGGTCATCCGCCTCTGCGCCTGCACTGTGCAGGTCGCGCTCCTCCTTGGCCAGAGCGCTACGCAGCACTTCCAACATGTCTCTTTGGCTCGAGATATACTTGGCCTTATCCGCACGGGACATGGATGCGACCTCCCGCGGCAGCAGTGTTCCGCTGGCAGACAGCTCCTCCCCGCGTGCTTCAGCACTCTTGCCAGATGCAACTGAAGCGACCGCAGAGCCGATGGCAGAGAGCCAGTCGTTGCCTGTGGCGGGGGCAGTGCCTCCAGCGGCAGTTGGAATGTTGAACCGGGACAAGAGCGACTGCGCATAGGCAGCCGGGCCCGTCGGGGGCGGAGGAGATGCGGGACGTTGGGCCGGCAAGCCCAGAATATTTTCCCGAACGTAGTCAAGGGCTTGGTAGAAATACTGAAGTCCTAGAGCCTTGGCACGCTCATGGCTGCGGCCAATGAATTCCTCGATTTCACGCTCATGGTGCTCTAGGAAGGGGTCGACATATTCCTGATATAAACTCCGAGCTCCCTGCGTTTGGGGGAGAACAAGATAGGAGAAGAAAAAGAGTCGGATCCAGCTATAGAATGGGAACCTGCAACAACCTGTCAGCAGACGGACTTAAGCATACCCTGATATTGTCTTGTGGCCGTACCATCCCAGAATGAAGATCGTCCATGACTCCGCCATCAGCACGGCCGACAGAACGACCCAATACATGAGCCATGGTGCCAGCTGGGAAGGGTCGCCAGTCCGGAGGGCTTTGTAGGAAGCAAATATAGGAAGCAGGATCGTGATGATTGAGCTGAATGCAGGATCTCGTTAGCATATGCATAGCGTATGAGAAAGTGCATGGACAACTCATAGGGCCGGGGTGTCCGGGGTCGACCGGCATCGCCGGGACTCGATGACGAAAGATAGCAGGTGGTACTCACGACAAAAGGTCCGCAATGATACCGAACATGATGGGCGATTGTGAACAGTTCGATCCGTTTGCTGAACTGAGTTCGTTTGGAGAGAAGGGTGCTAGGAGGGGGGAAAGAATTTATCGGTAAGCTGAGCTGCTGCTGGATTGCGGGGCAGAAGCTTCACGCGACCAACGGACCGACACAAAGGAGAGCGGCCAGCCGCGAGAAAAGTCTAATACTTGAAGAATCTTAGCGGATTGGCCTGCAGATTCCAGGAGGGAGGATAAGGTGGTAGTAGAGAAGGAATGGAAGTAAAATTCGGGGAGAGAAAAGGCCCAAGACGGAGCGTGGCTGCCTTGAGAAACTGGGGCCAAGCCACGATGATCCATCGAGCCCTACAGTGGTACCTACCGCATTAGGCAAGTATCAGTGCGGATGCCTTAACTCAGCCGCGTGGCTCAGGCAATCGAGCTCTCTTCTTCGGGACTAGGTCCATTCTAAGGGCAGCTTGCCCGCCTTGCCGTTTCGGGAAATGCCGCGGTCTTGACGTCATGAACATCATTATCAGTTACTGATTTGAAGCAGAATGAATGGGTACTAAGTATATAACACAGTTCTATTCAGCTTAATATTAATTTTGGAAAGTAACTTGAGTGAAAAGACATCCCCAAGGCAAAATCAGCAACTTCAGCCTGACTCCTTCAGGAGTTGTCTTTCAGATGGAGAGACTACTGTACTACTACCAGTACTAATATATATATGCTGCAACCATGCATTTAAAATGTGATGATGATGTTCCGCTACAACATCCACAATGAGAGTAGTGGTGCTTTAGAATTGAAGAGCAAAACCACTGTAACAAGCCCCATTGAAGAACCAACCCAATTACCCATCTATTGAAAAGCCTACTCTAGTATTGAATGATAGTACAACTATGCCATCCTTCACTGCCAGAGCGGAGGGCTCCCCTTAGCATCACAAAGGCGGTGGGGCTGAACTGCCGGTCATGTTGTCGGATGACCTCAGTGCCCAACAGTCGCCTTGTCTTCTGGACTCGTCAGAACAGCCTCGCCCTTCACTTTTGAGCCAATTCTGCTCATCAGATTCAGGAACCCTGCTACCAGTTGTCATCGGAATCAGACAATCCCATCAAACTTGTGATTGTATATCCATTGTACTCGCCGCCTGATCCTGCTCGCCTGTCGCACGAGACTATCCTTCCCCTCATATAGGTGGCGGCAGCTCACTTGCCTGACGCCGAGCTCAAGAATATCCCTACTACACCAGTACCCCCTTCCTACCTGCATCCTCTGTTCCCCAGAAACGTCGCAATGTGTATCGCGCTATTATCCACCGCACATCCTTCCTATCCCTTGATCATCATCAACAACAGGGATGTACGCGACAATGATTCAAACCACATGCTCGGATCCGTCCAAAACTAACGGCGTCTAGGAATACATACGTCGACCGACATCTCCCGCTGGCTGGTGGCCTTCACCAGAGTCCAATATCTTAGGTGGCCGTGATCTAGCGCGAGAGCCACATGGCACATGGATGGGGGTGACCAGAGAAGGCAAAGTGGCAGTATTGACCAACTACCGCGAAAATACATCAGAACAAGCCATTGGGGCGAAGAGTCGGGGAGCCATTGTATGTAGCTGGCTTGCTGCGCCTTCTGACGAGAAGCGGTCAACCCGGGAATACGTGCAGGATATGGTTGCGAGTCCCACCGCCAGGAATGTCGGTGGGTTCAGCCTGCTCTGTGGATACATCAATGAGCCCCTGGCAATCGTCTCCAATCGCTCATCCACCATGGACCAAATTGCATGGGTCGCCACAAAATCGGGCCAGACATTGGGCCTCAGTAACACAGTCTTCGAGGATCGCTCATGGCCTAAGATCCTTGACGGCGAACGACTAATGAATGAAGCCATTGCTACGCACGTGCAGGCTGGGGAGGACGAAGATGCCCTTATTACCCGATTCCTTGATATGCTGAGCACCAATACCCTCCCGAAGCTCTCAGAAGATGCCACTGCGGAGGACTACCTTCCGTATTTTCGGAAGAGCATCTTCATTCCTGTCCTGGGTGCTCACGAGAAACCCCCCAAGCCGGCAGATACAGTATCTCCTATGTGTGCTGATAGCACGCATGCGAATGGTGCTGCGGGCGGGGAGCACCATGCAATGGATCTGTCATTCCTGCATGGGCCGTATGGGACTCAACAACAAACGGTAGTCCTGGTAAGTGACGATGGACGTGTGCGGTATTTTGAACGCACACTATATGACAACGATGCAAACGCGATCCCGATCGGCCAGGGTGATCGATCATTCGAGTTTCATGTCGGCCAACACAGCAACGAAGGCGACAGAAACTCATGAGTCGCCGATGGCATGTCCTGGGGTGTTCCGAACAGTATCCATAGCAATCTAATTCTCCGCTCACGGCCTTTCAATCGGCCTCGGTGATTGTGGCTATGTAAATATTTATAACGGCGTGCAATATAAAAAAAGTCCTAAAATAGTAAACAAGGTCAATAGCTCCGGGAAATTCAATTGCGATATGGAATGAATTAATAGTAAGTCTCCTAGAAGCCCGTAGAAGCCGGCCATTGCCACAATCAATACTTAGCCGGGCCGAAAGTGACATGCCATGTTTGCTTCTAGAGATATTCCGGGTGGAACTAACATCGGGGAATCCTGAAGTCTTGGTAGTTCAGGAGCAATTCATATTAATGGCTCGAGGGGTTTATTGTACTATTGATTTTTTGTGGCCAGCCTCGGGATTAATTTCAGCACGTGTTTCTCAGGAGTCGCTGTCGCCTCCGTGTCCTGAACAACCTCTCCCGCTCACTCCCCTCGCAATAATGCCCTCATTATTGCCCCCAATTTGCAAGACTCTGCATCCTCCACAGCAGGCAGATGGTGTCTCTTCGGGAGAAAGCGTGAGATGTCAATAGGTCGACTGAAGGACGGCATGATTTCCGCCGACGGTCCCAGTGGGTCTCACAAATTCTTGTCTCACCGTTGGATACAGACGGGTCGGCCAGAAATTACCACTGAAGAAACCAGCCTGGACAGGAGGGCACAAAAGTGATCAATCAATCTGCAAGCCGATATGAATGCTAACAGACTAACGGTTTTCTTTGTCTCCGGGCCTATTGACCAGTTCCGTGCTCCCACCGGCCCGGAAGAAATTTAATTAACCGTGGAATCACTCCACCAACGAACAGGAAGCTTAGGCTGCTAACTCGTTTCATCTTAATCAGATCTCCTGCGCGATGCCATGGTATGGCCCCACGCCTTCCAGGCAGGCAATTTTCGCCCGGAGAAATGAAGGATGACTGACACGGGGCCAGTGCATCCCCTCCGATATGGTCGCAACAATGCGGGCATGGCTGTTTCCATTAGGTGGCTAAGCCTTGAGGTGTAACAACGGTCTACGCGCTCTCTCCACCACCACCCCAGCGTTCTACAAAGGAGTTCGGGGATATGCCGTGGTGACTACCGACTCTCGAGCATATTGCTTGAAAATTACATTTTTTCAGCAGCTGAAAAGCTGCTTTCGTGGTTCTTTTTTCCTGTTTTCCGCCCGTGGCGTATTCAGATATTAAGGGTCGCTCAGGGACCGGCGCTAGCCCAGCGCCGGCCCAGTGCCCTTATTTCGGAGGAATCGGGCGAGATGTTCTCGACTTCAGGGAGTCCACCCTAGTGGATGGATCCCCTGGCGGGCCACAAGGTAACTGTCTCAGAGAAAGCACCTAAGGCGTTTGCTGAGATTAAGCTGTGGGACCAGAGAAATGATAGGGAATTATGGGATGGTTGCTTTGCCCCGAGTGATCGATTATAAGTATGGGGAGTCCGAACCGTTCGTTCGTTCTACTTGGCACATCACAATCAAGACTGGCTCTTGACATTCATTACTTGTCTTCTATCTTGTGTTTTCACTCTTTCTTTCTTACCGTTAGTCATTCATTCCTTTGATCGACCAGTTCGACGTACATTCTTTTCAAAATGAGAATCAGCAACTTGATCGTTGCGGCCTCTGCCGCCACCATGGTGTCCGCTCTCCCCAGCCGCCAGATGAAGAAGCGTGACTCTGGCTTCAAGTGTATGTGATGTTTGCCTGAAGTTCGATGCACTACTCTAATTGATGTAGGGGTTGGTACTAGCGAATCCGGCGCTGAATTCGGCACCGCTCTCCCCGGTACCCTGGGAACCGACTACACCTGGCCCGAGACCTCCAAGATTCAGGTCCTGAGAAACAAGGGCATGAACATCTTCCGTATCCCCTTCCTCATGGAGCGTTTGACCCCCGATGGCTTGACCGGCTCTTTCGCTTCGACCTACCTCTCTGACCTGAAGTCGGTATGTTGTCGCTCATGCCCTTGATATCGTCGTCGTTACAACACTAACCGGTTACGCAGACTGTCGAATTCGTTACCAACAGCGGTGCCTACGCTGTCCTTGACCCCCACAACTACGGACGTTTGTAAGTAGATACAGTTCAATGAGAATGGATGGCATATGATGGCTAACAACTTGCAGTGATGGAAGCATCATCGAATCCACCTCCGACTTCAAGACCTGGTGGAAGAACGTCGCTACCGAATTCGCCGACAACGACAAGGTCATCTTCGATACCAGTGAGTAGACCTTCTATACCGGTTATACGAGGAAATATCTAACAGAAATAGACAACGAGTACCATGACATGGAGCAGTCCCTGGTTCTGAACCTCAACCAGGCTGCTATCAACGGTATCCGTGCTGCTGGTGCCACCACTCAGTACATCTTCGTCGAGGGTAACGCCTACACTGGTGCCTGGGACTGGACTACCTACAACGATGACCTGTCTGGCCTGACTGACAGTGAGGACAAGATCATCTACGAGATGCACCAGTACCTTGACTCCGACAGCTCCGGTACTTCGGAGACCTGTGTCAGCTCCACGATCGGCAAGGAGCGCATCGAGAAGGCTACCGAGTGGCTGAAGACCAACAACAAGCAGGGTATCATCGGTGAATTCGCTGGTGGTGTCAACTCCGTCTGTGAGGAGGCTGTCGAGGGCATGCTCGCGTACATGTCCGAGAACTCCGACGTCTGGGTTGGTGCTTCCTGGTGGTCTGCCGGTCCCTGGTGGGGAACCTACATGTACTCTCTGGAGCCCACCGACGGCACTGCCTACTCCACCTACCTGCCCATCCTCGAGAAGTACTTCCCCAGCGGTGATGCTTCCTCCTCCAGCTCTGCCTCTGCCTCCGTTGCCGCTGCTACCTCCGCTGTTTCCACCACCACCACTGCCGCTTTCGAGCAGACCACCACCCCCGCCACCCAGGTTGAGATTGCCTCTTCCTCTTCTTCCTCAGCGGCCGTCGCCGCCAGCCAGACTACCCTCAGCAAGGTCAAGTCCAAGTCCAAGTCCCCTTGCAAGCTGTCCAGCGCCACCTCCAGCGCCGTCTCTAGCGCTGCCGCTGCCACCACTCCTGCCGCCGTTGCTACCACCCCTGTTGTCGTTGCCACCACCCCTGCCGCCGCTCCTACTTCTTCCAGCGTCGCTTTCGCCACCACCTCCGTTTACGTTCCCACCACCACTGCCGCTGTCCCCAGCCAGGTTAGCTCCAGCGCTGCTGCTAGCAGCAGCGGTGTCGTCGGTGTCAGCGACCCCCAGGGTCCCTCGGCTACCAACTCTGCTGGTGAGGTGAACCAGTACTACCAGTGCGGTGGTATCAACTGGACCGGCCCTACCGTCTGTGCCAGCCCCTACACCTGCAAGGTCCAGAACGACTACTACTACCAGTGCGTTGCTGAGTAAATGCACTCACTCTAGACGGATATTTATCTGAAAGAGAGAATGGGAAGAGGGGTAGACGACGGCGAGGAGGAGGTGATAGAGGGTCCAGGATGAAGTTGTTCACGTTCTTGTATATAACTTTGTAAACACTATAAATCAAAAGCGACCCGAGGTCCCGTCTACTTTCACAACATTGACAATATCCCATCTACAGCATTGCTAGTTACGACTCCATCGGGTGTAACACTATAATAATAATAAAAATTATAGTCTTATCGCATGAATGCGTAAGCAATATTACTCTGAAGTAAATAGTCCGTTACAGACCACACGTCCCGCCCGGGTGGAAGAGACGGAGAGAGAGCGGGGGCCGTTGAAACACCGACCGAAGCTGAAACGCCAGATCCACCAGCCCACACCCTCAACGGCGGCAATGACGGCACATTGTGTGGCCCATCGTTCGTTCACGACAACAGGATCACGACAAGACAGGATAGTTGTGATACGCAAGAAGTAGGAGTATGTTTCAAGGGAGTTCTCAGATCAAACCTGAAGCAGAGGGAGATATGCAGTTTAGAAACAGTATGTTTGCTAAGAAATAATGCTGTGGGGGCTTGTAAAACGGATGGTCAAGAATTAGGGTAGATTGTTTACCCGGTAGGGTAGAGAGAAACTCAGTCGTTATTGTTTGGGATAACTAGAAGAAGTTAGGGTGAGGTATTGGCATGAGCTTATTAGGGTAAGTAGTAGTCGTTTACCTACTCGCTGACGAGGGAAACTTCCTTACTGGGTTGTAGAAGCCGGAGTAAGTCGTCTTTTAGTATTGGTGTCACCTGACCCGGGGTATACCGTCTGTTCCGACTATTACCTGGGAGTGTTTTATGCTGCCTTTGCTACCACTATGTGAGTACTATCAGCGAGCAGCAAGATGGAGATTATCGCAGCTGCCTATAGAGCCAAATGAAGCTCTCCCGTTGGCACAATTACCGAGCCGTCAGTCCAGCCAAGCTGGCAAAGCCTGCTGTTCGCAAAGTACCTCCCAAATAGCCACTACCGACAGGGGGAAGTTGGCCATTGCGGACAGTGCAGTGTATCTTTGAATGTGACACCATCAACATGGCCTGCATCTTCGGAGTAGGATGCCTTTTCCAGCAGGCGGTTGTGATTTAGAGAGTTTGTCCAGCCAAGCGAGTACCTACATAGTTCTCAGTTCATTGGGAAGACGAAGTATCCTGCTTGCAATGTTGGGGAAGAAGTGGAGGTGCTGAAAAAGTGATTGTCCACCTCACCCGGCATCTACGCACTGCCCTGCACTTCTTCAATTACCTCAATGGTCTTTGATTGGCGGGTCATACTCCCCGCACCTCTTGTTATGTCTCTTGCAGTATGCCGTTTCGGGATTGAATCATTCGATATCACTCTGAGGGATAATTTACTCGCTCTGATGTGTCTTTGCAGCTTGAAAGAGCAACCCGGATGTGAGTGGGTGGTCTCGAAACAAGGACGACAGACCTGCTGCGCACACTTATCACGCTAAAGACGGCTCGCTTGGGCTTTTCATCGGTACGCTGGTGATCATATTGATGGACACCTCGGAGATATCGCAAGAAGTGCATAGAAGGTGGTTTCTCTGCTTGAAGACACATCGTGGAGGGGCCCATAAATGCTGATAGCCAGAGCTATCCTACCATACATCACGAGCTAGCTAGTCTATAACCGAGCGTCGCCAGCCATCGCAATACGCGCTCTGGTACGGCTATGAAAATCGTTGGTAGCTGCGAGGTGGGGCCACCTCGAAATACTTGGCCAGTAAGTATAAAGCCAATTGCCTTTCCTGTGAGGAGAGAGAGTAAGTGTACTCTTAATTGACTGCTCCTCAACGGCTCCATTGTTGTCGCTTTTGCATGTACGTCCAATATGAACCTGTCCTATCCCTCCAGCCTTACTGCCCTTGCTGGGTTGGCATTGCTTGCTCAACTTGCTTCTGCCTCTCAATTACCTCTCCCCATTTTGCAAGACTTCGATGACACTGGCGTTCTTGGTGGGCTCTACCGACCCAACACCACAAGCCCACGCTCGCGCATTGGCATCTATATCATGCATGCTGAGCAGGACTACACCTCCTTTGTCGGCTGCACAGAGCTTCAGGAGCGTGGGTTTACAGTGTTTTGCGCCAAAAACGAAGCCAGCAAATCTGGCTATATGTCAGACCTAAATTTTGAGGACATGATGCTCCAAGCCAACACGGGCTTGGCCTGGTTGCGCAACCAGACTGATATCGACCAGGTGATCATTCTTGGCCACAGCGGTGACGGTGCGATGATGGCCCAACATCAGAACGTCGCAGAGAATGGAGTGTCCGCGTGCAATGGCCCAGAGAAGATCTATCCTTGCTCCAATGCTCTGGCTGGCCTTGAGCCTGCTGACGGCCTAATGCTGCTGGATGCTAACTACGGCATCTCCACCATGGGCCTGCTGAGTCTGAACACGGCTATCGAAGATGAAACGATGGCCTCAAAACTCAAGCAGTCCCTCAACATTTATAACCCTGATAACGGGTTCAGCAATGGCACTCAATCAAACTTCACTTCAGAGTTCAAAAAGAGGTTTACGAAGGGGATTGTGGCTCGCAACAACCGTGTCCTGGAACATGCCCAGCACCGTCTTAAGGAAATCGACAAAGGCAATGGGATGTTCGGCGATGACGAGCCCCTCACCATCCCTGCGGCTCTTTACCTTGCTACCAACAACCTCTACATTTCTCAAGATGGTCGAACTTTGCATCACACTACCCATCCTTGAACTTTCCTTGGGAAGAACGGTACGACCGAGCAGATTATTCAATCGGTGCGTGTCCCGTCCGGCTGGGTCGATGTCTCCAACTCCGGGGAACAGGCTGCTCTCACGACCACCGTCCGGCTATACCTCTCCACCCTGGCCATCCGAGTCAACGAGAACTTTAACATTTTGGCAGATAACTTCGAAGGCATAGAGTATGATTCTACCCAGATGGCACCTGCAGCATCGATCAAGGGCGTCAGCGTCCCGCTCTTGACCGTGGGAATGACTGGACACTACGGGTACTTGAACGCTGAAAAGATCCACCTTAATGCCGTCAAGAGCAACGATACCTCGATCGCATTTGTTCAAGGCGCTCAGCATGGCATTTACCCCTGCACCGAGTGTGAGTCTTACCCCGGAGAATTTGGAGACACCGTCAAAACATGCTTCGACTATGTTGCGGGTTGGCTGTCCGAGCAAGGCCGCTTCCTGTGAGCCTTTCACATTTTGCAGGGCAAACAATAGCTTCCATATCTGTGAATCCGTCTGTGGAAGCCTAACTTCACTATGCCCCCGGCTTGGGTGTGCGGTTTTGCGAGGTTTAACGACGGTGATGTTGCCATGTCAATACCAAAATAGGGGTTCTTTCTCGCACGATGTGCGCTCCTATAGATATGAACACAAGATGAGAGCCGCGGTATATAGAGTTTGACGTATATATTTCTTCCCATGATAATAATCACGCCTCATAGAATCAAGTAATCATCTTGCTCGAAGCTGTTGGTGGGAGACTCATAGGCTGACTCAGCAATGTCAGCTGTCGGACCTTCGGACGTTCGCGAACAGCCGCTTCCCCGAGGTTACTTTGGCGTCGCATCAACTCTCCAACCCATAGGCTGATTGTCGAGTCGCTTCTTCGGTTTTAATCTGCCAAACTTCATCTCTGGGAGACAGTCGGGGATTGACCGACTAAAGTCTGACCCCCTTGCAGCGTGCAGAAGACAAGCGTAAGCATGGAATCCGCACGCCGCTATAACGTCGAACGGTCCTGCCTGCGCTGCCACCAACGCAAGGTCCGCTGCGATAAGAGCTCTCCATGTGGGGCTTGTATACGAGCAAATGTGCTCTGTCAATACCCTGGCCCCAATCGCGTCAAGCGTCGGCCTCCAAAAGTACACAACTCTGATGTCATCGCCCGACTGGAATCACTTGAGCGCTCCATCGCGGCTCTAGCTGGAACCCGATCGCTGCCTCATCCTCAGCACGAAGTGACAGACGGACGGGCCATTTCTGCACCAGGTGCGGGGTCCCCCTCTAGCAATGAACCGTCGCCGACGGGCACAGCTGCGGCAGCGGAGCCATCGCACGACGGCCTTCTAGTTGAGGACGGCCGGTATATCAATGAACAACTCTTGTCTCGAGTCTTGGAAGATGAGAAAGAGCTTCAGTCTGCCATTGGGACGCCGAAGAGCGACACCAGCAGCTCCAGACGACCACTCACGCTCAGAGCGGAAGGTCTCCTTGTCAGTCGCTCGGTGGAGGAAGGACATCTCTATGCACTGCACCCGTGTCAGTGGCAATCGACACAGCTCTGGCAAACCTTTTTGAATCGCATCGACCCGATAATTAAGATACTTCACGTTCCGTCGACCCAGCCACGGGTATTCGCAGCGATTAACCAGCCGGCGGCCGCGCCTGCTGATCTCCATGCTTTGCTTTTTGCCATATTCTTTGCGGCCACAACAAGTGTGCTTGCCGAGGACCCAGCACATGAACAGAGGCAATCAGAAGTCAAGCGATACCAACAAGGGCTGGAACTTGCTCTCTATCAGTCGAACTTTCTGGATGCTCCCACCCTAACATCGCTGCAAGCGATGAGTATTTACCAGGTAAGAACCAGATGCCAAGTATTTCTATGTGGGATGTAGCTCATGACACTGTACATTTAGATGTGCCTGCGCTATTACAATAGCGGACGATCTGGATGGACGATGCGAGGTTTGGTCATCCGGGCAGCACAATCCATTGGCCTTCACCGTGACGGGAGACACTTCAAGCTGACTCCGCTGGAATGTGAGCTGCGCCGCCGACTATGGTGGCACATTTGTACAGCTGATAGTCGCGCGGTCGAGGATCATGGAGTCGGTGTCAATAGCAGCGAGGAGGTCTGCGACACCGCATTTCCTGCAAATATCGATGATCAGGACCTTTCTGCTACGGCGACGGTGCCGCCGGATTCCAAGGACTGCTGGACAGAGATGACAGCATCTCTGATCACAACAGTGGTGAACGAAAAGCGCCTGGAATTGCATCGCACACTGACAACGAAAGTCACTGGAAAGGATCCCGCTGAGATAGTGCGGGAAGCAAAAGAGCACGTATACAATACCTATACAAAACACGGCGATCCCAATATTCCGATCCAGCGACACGGCATGCTGCTGGGGGAAGTTCTAGTGCTAAAAATGGAAATGTACGTGAACCAGAAAGCTCTCCAGACAAATAGCACCTCAATACCGGTCGCAGAGCGCCGTGAGTTGCAAACCAAAACCCTGGACATCTCCTGCCAAGCCCTCGAACGCACCAATGAGTTGTTTACCGACGCGCTTCTCCGTGGATATCGCTGGCTCTCTTCTACATTCATGCCTTACTTTCTCCTTACGTACATATTGTGGCATCTTTGTGTGTATCCACTGGGGGTGCACGTTGAACGTGCATGGCGAGCAGTCAACTTGGTCTTTGACCTCACTGAGAAGGACCCGCTGTGGCCCAATCCGGGGCCAAAGTGGGCAATAATTACTCGCTTGCGTGACAAGGCGTTGTACATCCGACAGATGCAGGTGGCTGTGGAGCAGGCCGCAGGCTCAGTCGATGAGACGCAACCGACAGGTACCAGCCAAGCGGAGGCGCCAATGGTAGAATCGTTCTTCGACTTTGTCAATTGGGATATTGGCGTCCTTGGGTTCCCTGACTGGACTGGCTTAATGCAGAGTGTCGACATAACGGGCTTCGAGCATTTGATGGATACTCAGAGAAGAGTTCGTGCTTGGCAAGGCTGAGCCAGCCAAGAGAATATACACATTAATTATTCACAAGAAAATCCAAATTACATGAGCATAGAATGTCAGAACATCGCCATGAGGGAAAAGTCAGAACTTCGCCTTGAGCACCAAGCCTGTTTGACGAATACGGGTCATCAAGACACACACGGTGCCTGCCAACAGGAAGATGCCCGAATAGATCTTCATGCCCGTGTACGACCCATCATCGCGCTGTAAAATCGCGCCTGCGATAGGGTTGGTCGTCAGGGCGCCAATCGACGCGAACAGGAAGAGCACACCAGTCCAGTAGCCCATTTCCCGGAGCGGGGCAATCTTTGCCACCAGGGCAGCGGACAAAGAGAAATACGCGCCAGAAGTGATACCAAAGAGGACCGCGAAGACGATATTTCCGGGGTTGTTAGTCGCAGGGATCCAGAGCGCGAGGACCAAGATACCCGTCAGTGAACAGACCACGACAAAGATGTTGTATGGCCCGACTTTATCGGAGAATGCGCCAGCTCCCATTCGACCGAAGAGACTACAACCTATTAGCAACTTTATCATCTCCGAGCGTAGTCGGACCACTCACCTTCCAGCATTCAATATCGGGACCAAATACTGCGCCAAATTTGTACTCATCCCATCTGCAATGGCCGACGTCTCCATGTAATTGATAGGAATAAACACGCCGAAAGTCAACAGGACGAACCCGGAAACAAGAAACAGCATCTTCACCTCCTTATACGGCCGCATAAAGGCCTCCTTATCCATCTGCTGCTTCATTGGCGGGATTCTCGACCTCACAGTAAGACAAGTAACGACAAGCAACCCCAGGATCAAAAAGGCAGCGATGCGCATTGCCCACCCGAAGCCGACACGAGTGATGAGCCGATCCACCATGATAGGGAAGATCACACCACCGGCACTTGACCCAGAAGCGATGATTCCATACGCCGCGCCGCGTTTCTTGTTAAACCAGCTGGGAATGGAGCTCATGGATGGCTGGAAAATAGCACACAGCCCCATAGCACTGCAGACACCCTGCGACAGCAGGACTTGGTAATACTCCGTAGAAATGGAGGTCATCATGAGCCCAAAGACATGCAGGAAGGAGCCTGCGATGATGACCACGCGGGCACCAAGTCTATCGCTCAGAGTGCCGACAATGGGGCCCTATAGAGTGTCAGATCATTCTCAGATGTACAATTTGTGCCGAGTAATGGGAAGAGACAAACCATGAAAAACATGAAAAACACTTCCAACGAAGGAATCCACGCGATCGTACTCGTCGAGTATCCACTGAGCAGCGTCGTCTCATAATATGTCTGGAACGTTCCGATGCCTGCAATCTCATTAGCATGTACGTAGCAACAAGCCAGATTCTTCTCTATTTTCCCGCAAGATAGACCAAGAAAGAAAAAAAAAATAAACATACTATTGATCCACCCAAAAGTACAAAAATACGCACACCACGCCCCCAACACCACCGACCACGCCGCAAACCCCCCATCAGGCGGGGGATCGGCCGTTCCCCACGGCGATTGCGCTGGAGGTTGAGTTGGTGCTTGCTTTTCTGGGTCGGGTGCTAGGTCTGATTCCTGTAGGGTATTTTGAGAGTTCCGATCATCTTTTTCGTATTCATCACCGGGATGAGCGTTTATAGCTGCTTCATGGGAAGGAGCCATTGTGCCTAATGTTGCCTTTCCCCGTCGGATTTCGGCGCTGACGAGATGAAATTATAGATAAAAATAAGCCCGGAAAAATTAGAAGTAACTCGTTCTTTATTAAACCCCACCTAAGTAAGAAACCATCCTATCTTTAAGTAGAATACATAATAAATAGGGCTACGCTGAGATGACTGACGCTCGGCGCGGCTCGGACGTTCATGAACGACCGTCTCCGCGGGCTTTATCGGTCTCGCGCTCGGAGGGGAGGATCGGATCCGATGACTTAGGGGGTTTTATCTTTCTTCATGGGGTGAGATTGGTTAGCCTCGTGCAATGAGACTAAGTTACTATCTGTATTGAGTATATTGTTTGTCGATCACTGGGAAATAAGCTGATTTGGGTAGAGGGTTTGTGTTGGTGTGGGTGGGGGCGGAGAGTACAAAGAGGGTGTGGGAAGTGCTCTGTAGTAAGTACAGGGCTGGGATGTTGAATACTTCACTTTCGCGGGTTAGGGGGGCTTTCTTTCGTTATTGGTGCTAGTGTAGTCGCTGGAGATTGACTGGTCGCTTCTGGGGTCTGGTTTCGGTCTTGTCGGTTTTATCGGTTTGTCGGTTCTATCGGTCTCGTTGTCGGCCATGGTGCCGACACCGTGGAGCCAGCTCGTCGCCGGCCGTCCAGTGCGAAAGGGATCATTCGAGACCAAAGTTAGTACACGTGAGAGAGCTTTATCAACTGAAGAAGGTTCAATTGAAGGAAGAGGTGATGTCGGAGAATTATCGGCGACAATGACATGCTTTCGGGAGAATATTCCGCAATGTGACATGTCGCTGTGGCTTTATGTGCATGCATCGGAGGCTATGTTGGAATGTTAATCTAACCTCATCTAATCGTGTAGGATTATCCTATTGAATTGTCTTGCATTCCTGGCCTCTCTCGGCTTCAATACACCATATTTCGGATGCCCTCACCAGGATTTACTCTCTTGGGGGTCACATCCATCTCACAAGAACACTAGTTGCTTAGTCTGCGACGCGTGGTTCTACTTAAGTCGCATATTTCAGGCTCAAGGTAGGGAACGGAAAGTGTTTGTAATCAGAATTTTATGGGGACTGGATTGGCCGCCAGATTTAGCATGGAAGGACCAATGTCGGCTGAGGGATCCTATTTCTTGTAGGCGTCTTTCGATGAACGATACAATGTCATTATTAGAAAGTTTGACCATTCGTAGCTGCGATATTCTAGCCATTATGTCGTTGCTTCCCCGTTTGCTTTGCTGTCCACTGGTAGAAAAACATATGGACCGCAGTGTAGGGCTATGAGAGTCTTAGGAAAGAAAGAAAGAAAGAAAAAAAAATAGGATAAAATAGACATAAAACAAGAAAAGCCGATATGTGCTTTATGCTGCGGTAGATGTGCTACGCCTGCGACATGGGAGGAACTATCACCAGTGCTGGTTATAGTCACCCAAGCCCTGTTCAAGCGGTCAGTCGATGTTTCGTTACACTTTGCACCCTTTCTTCAGACAATTCCTTCAAGCGAGCCTCTGAAGGTCCATTTTAAGCAGAATAGCCACTTACCTCTGGAAGATCAGCAGGTTGTTTGAAGGCATCCTCGACGTATTATCCGGTTGCTACAAGCGAGACCTCAAAAGAAATCAAGAGCCTTGCTGCGGCATAATGACCATTATTTTTCGCCAGCCTCACGGCTTCATCAAAATAGAACCGATGCTCTCCCACAATGAGTGCTCCTCGATCAAGCAGCAGGTGCAACATATCAATTCGACCGTGTTCGGCAGCGCCCATTAAAGCCGTGCGCCCGTCTTTCACTGCAGGTTTTGCATTGACATCCGCGCCGAGGTCAAGCAGTCTCTGAGCAATGCCGATGAATCCATGTATGGCCGCAATCTGTAAAGCGGTCGCACCACCTTCCTCGGCTGCGGGACCATTAACACCTGCTCCGTAATGCAGGAGAAGATTGAATATCTCCATGTTTCCATTCTCAACAGCGAACTGTAACGGTGTACGTCTGCGGGGACCGTCTCCCAAGTAATTGACATCGGCTCCTTTCATCAGCATCTCACGGACGACCCGCACTAATTGTGATTTGACGGCAGCTTGAAGAGGATTGAACCCACACCGCTCAAATCTCAGCCACATATCGTAACTTAAATCAAAGTCGAGTTGTATCAACTCAGCCAGCCGGTCATGGTCGTCCGATAATATTGTCCTGATTAAAGCACGGGACACCAGCTTTGGGCCCCATGGTATCCCAGCCGTCGCTGCCCACTCAAGAAGAAATGTGTAATGAGAGCTTATGACTCTCCAACCAGCCACCATTTCAAGTACTGATTTGACGTCATCCTCCCACAGTTGACTCCATCTGTTGAGCCTCGATCCGATTGCAAGTGGCCGAGGTGCTCCTGTAAAGTCCACGTTTGCCTCTCGAAGTAACTTCAACGCGGCCATTGAAGGTTCCCTTAACCCAGCTGCCACTGCTGTTGGGGCCCTCCCCGAAAAGCTTCTTAGTAAAATTGGTAAAAGTCCAACATGCCTCTGTATCGCATATGTGAGAGCATAGTCTGTCACCAAAACACCATGCTCCAGAAGAGCCTGTATAAGTCTCATGTTATTTGTTTCGGTGGCCGCCTCTAGAGGGGTTATCACATCTGAGGTGGAGAAGGGATCCCGGGCGTCGTGCTCTTTATGGGCGCCGTTCTGGAGTAAAAAGTGTGCTAAGTCCTCATGTCCCGCTGATATAGCAGCTGCAAGAATCTGATGGCCGGACGAACAGAGCACGCCTGCTAAGACTCCTTTCTCTTTCATTAGGATGGCAGTCTGCAAATTCCCGATTTTCTTCATCTTAACTCCAACGTATCTAGCACCGGCATTTATCAGCTTGTCGATCACCGCATCATTTCCAACTTCGAGAGCGGCAGCAAGAACGCTACCTGGAGCCGCTTCGGAGCGATCATTCAATCGTGCGTTTGAGTTGATCAAAAGCTCAACGATAAGCATGTTATCTTCCTGGATTGCAGTCATGAGAGCTGATGGCGACTTTTGCGCATCACATGGCTCTCTGTCAACCTTGGCCCCATGCGTGATCAACATCTGGCAAAGACTAAGATTGCTCTTCCGAGCGGCATGCTCGAGTAAAGTAATTTCTCCCTCATCAGCAGCTCTGACGTCAGCGCCTGACTCAAGTAAAAAATGAGCTATATCGGTTTCGCCGGTCATGGCTGCTAGAGTCAGTGGATACATATAGAGCGGCGAGGAAAGTCTATTTGCGCCAACAGTAGAGTAAGTCAAAAGTCGGACAATATCAACACTCCTCTCCATGACTGCAAGGCCTAGCAAGCAGATATCCATCCCTTCAGGTCTAAGGCTGTACGGTGGCGCAATAAATCCATTCAGCTTTGCACCTCTGTCAAGGAAATGTTCAACAATCCACGCATTTTTCGACTGCACCGCTGGAACAACGAGATCTGGATCATTGCGTCCAGCTGCAAGATGCTCCTCAAGGTATATGTCGATTATCTCCCCAACCAGATCAAGTTCCTGCGGATAAGAGCAACAGATTCTCATCGCTGCACGGGCACACTCTCTTGTCACTTTTGCACCTTGCAGAAGTAGCGCCCGAACAACCGCCAAGTCTGCACTTGAAATGGCAATATACAGAGCAGTTTTACCCACCTCATTCGCAAAGCCATATTCAATGTCGGCACCGTACTTGATCAGAAGATTGGTAAGGCAAATATTATCCTCCTGAGCGGCAAATTGCAAAGGAGTCAAGAAGCAGATGTCGGCCTCTTCTGTGAATACCTCAATCAACCCATCCGGGCTCATGCCAGACCGGAGCATATTCTCAACAATCTCCAAATCACCTATCCAGAGTGCACTTTCAAACACTTTTTCTGCGATAGATTCGGCGGTGGGCTCACGGGTTGATAGCAAAATCCTGAGTTGATCTGGGCCAGCCCAGCCACTATCTTTGAGCAAATTCAAGATCAATCTGGAATCACGTTCCTTTTGTAATTCAAAGGACCCATCTTCATCTGGGAACATTAAGTTATTTGAAATGAGGTATAACACGACACTCAAATGATCTCTAAGCCCTGACTTCAAGGTACTCAGATTGGTTGACAATCCATCAAGTTGTCCTTGCTCCGTTTCTGGCATGAGAATACTGAGAGCTGCTGATGTACGTGACCCACTGTAAATGTTCTCGAGATGCTCGGGTTTATTCCAGGGTACAATCGAGCTCAGGCGTTGCATCAGCTCAAAATTGGCACTTTTGGTGATATTGCCTGAGCGCGACGAGTCCACGAAGAGAAAGGAGGAGGGCAAAGAAGGTGCTGGAAAGATATTGTATTAACATTCAAGCTCGTGTGTGTGTGTGTGTGTGTGTGTGTGTGTGTGTGTGTGTGTGTGTGTGTGTGTGTGTGTGAAGAGAACCTCACCTTGCTCTGTTGGGGGATCAAGGAAGCTCATGAACCGCAGCCAGGGCAAAGAGCTGCTCCAAGAGAGGCACATCCCAGTTGTTTGCGGAGTTGTTACGAGATAACCCTCGGGGGTCTTTGGTGAAGGGGCTAGGAATTGGTCAATTCCATGCTCAGATGAGATCGGAGATTCAACTTACCATATTGCGATATGGTTGACACGAAGCCCTTTCCGTATTTTGCCTTGGCGATTTTCTTCGGATGGAGCTGAATTCCGTCTATAAAGACCTCACTATCCTTTCCGTTTCGCTTCCGTTTGGCCACTCGTTTCAGGATCCATTCATCGTTTCTGGACTCGGAGTGCTTTCTAAACCCCCATTTATTGAGTTGTCTAGTGTATGATGCCTTGCTAATCTCCAGTCAGCTGCGATGCTATAAAGCATAGTGAACTGTGCTTGCCTTTTCTTCCACGCGTGCTGGGTTTCCATATAGCTCATCACGTCTTCCAGTTTTTGGTTTTCGTGAATATATAGTCGTTCGATCTCGCTCTTGTATAGGTCCCATTTCTGGTTGGCCATGTTTA